AATCTAATAATCAGTAGAGAAAAATTATGATAGCATTTCTATTAATGTCATCTAGAATGAAGAGATACAAGCCACCAGGGCTGGAATTACACCTTCTGGAGTAGAGATGCTTGCCTTTCCCTTCTGTGATCCCAGAAATGATGCAAATATGTGAGCTTTCCCTCAATAAAGGGATTTTCCTCTGAGGTTGTCTACACTCCCGCAAGGCCTCTGCTAAGAAATATGTCCTAAAGTGAGGGTGATTTCTGGCATCAAAATTTTTTTAAACAAAAGTTATCATTACAGTGTTCAGGTTAGTAGTAACCATAAAAAGGCCAGAGGGAGGGGGCAGGAGGAGAGGCTAGCCACACAAGTCATATTTAATATGCTTCCCACAAGAGAAGCCCCTGCAAAAAATCAATAGACAGCCGCCAGCTGTGCTTAAACTGCAAGTTCAATTAAAACACTGCGCTCCAGCCCTTGGGGTTGAGCCTAGCTCCCCAATCAGTGGTGCGCGAGCGGCTTGGCCAGGGTGCGGAGTCCCACCGCCGCAGATCCCAGCAGTCGCGGTCTGGATCAGGCCATGCGAAGCCGCAGGAGCGCCAAGCCTTGGCACCCTGCTCCGCAGCGTGGGAAGAGCAGAGGCCGCAGAGGGGCGTCAGGCTTCACTCTGGCAGTGTTTCCCCACCACAGCCGATGTGTTGAGGCCCGAGCGCGGGCCAGATGGGCCCAGGCGAAGCGTCTGGCTTTCGGCTGAGGCACCGGGAATGAGAAGGGCCCGGAGTTTAAGCCTCAGGGCGGAGGAGGACCCCACCTCGGGTCCAGGCCTGACAGGCCAAGCGCGGTGGGCTGCAGCCTGAGCTGTCCAGTGAGGCTGGCCACTGAGCTCCTGGGTTTCCGAAATTGGGGAAGCGTTGCCTACGAATCCAGTCCCTGGGGGGAGCGGACCGTGCGCTGAGTGAGGCCTTGCCGACCTTGCTCGGGCCACTACCGTGCCTCTAGGTCAGGTGGCTCGCTTGGTCTGGCTGTCTACCTGGAGGCACCCGAACCTCCAAAGTAGAGCTTGTATGCCCGTCTGAGTTGGGAGAGGACTTGGACTTTCAGTCTGCCACCACGGTCTCGGTTCATTTTGTCAGGAAAATCATCACTTTAAAGGGCAGGATTTCTTAGGGCGGGAGGTTTTGGAAAACTTTGTTTTCTATGGATGGATGTAGACTCCTGAAACATCATATCCCTGGACCTTCCTATTGCCCCTCCTGACGAGTTATTTGGCTTTTTCTTCCTTCAATGAAAATGTGTAGGTAGAAAAAAGTTACCCATTATCTCACATAACCCCTCCATCAATTCCCTAAAATTATCAGACTTTCATTCCTATGGTTGTCCCTCTTTTAAAAAGTAGGGGGGGGGCATTTCAGCCTTAAAAAAAATACTGCAGTTGAGAAGATATTTGGAATGTCGGGGGGCAGCAAAGTGAAATCTCAGCACCCCCCCTCTGAGTGCCACATTTCCCTACTTTTCTATTATTCTGCCTGAAATCATCTCGTTTACAGAAAATATTTGTTTGCACTATTAGTTGGTACTGGAGTTAATTACTCAATGTGTTAACGTGAAGTAATATGTATAAAAGTAGGATCAGCGTTTATTGTGTGGGTGAGCTGTTGAGCGGTGCTTGAATAAACTGCAATTAGGGTTAGATAGAGATTAATTAACATGTGAGTGGCAAGGTGTAAAATAGTTTCCAACCCTCTACTTCAATATAATCTGCAGGCAAGGGAAGAAGTTTGCGGAAGCTAATTAAATACTTTCATAGAAGCCAGTGTATTCGCTCAACATTTGGAAAAAGAGGCACATTAGGGGCAACTTGTATTTACTCAAATGTTTTCCTTCCGTGGAGGTAGCGCTCCTTTGTGATGCAGGGGAGAGAGATGGCTTATGCAGCTACAAACAGCGCTGGGAATGGCAAGGAAGGTTCACAGGATGCCTTGGGAAGACTTTCAGCCTGATGGAGCTTTCAAACCGGCAAATCTCTCGAGCTGCTGCCGAGATCAACAATTACCCAATTTGGAAAGGGGGTTGGGGTACAGTACTGGTGGCTGAACGAGATTCACAGGAAAGTCGGGATAGAAATTCAGGTTTTGAAACCCTGTGAGGGTACTGATACTATTTCAGTGTCAGGGTGAGTTGTTGGTTTGTTTCTTGTCTGGCGGCGGTGGTGGGGTGTGTTGGGGGAGGTTTCATCTGTGCTCTTGCTTTCATGCTAACTGGATAGGGGTACACTAGGTCTGGAATTCTGCCTCTCTGAACATCTAAATTAAATGGGCTCTGTGGAAATGCTCTCCTCCAGACAAGCAAGTGTTTTTCTAGCTTTGAAATTTGGCAGTGGGGAGGGGGATGTTAGGGAACAGTATCATGACTGCTTGACTTGAGGGGCGCTCTCTGAGCGTGACAGGATGAAAATAGTAACCGACCGGCGGGCCACTTCCCCTTGGAGACCTTGCTTTGTTCCTACTCCTTGCTTTCCAAGTACACTTTTCCTTTACCTACCATGCCGATATCCTGTCTGAAAATACACTCAGAGGGCGAGTGGGTAGGAATGAGAAGTTCTGAAGGGAAAAAAGGAGTGATGGCCTGAAGTTAAATCTAAACCTTTCCTTGTCCCTTTCCCTGATGGTTTCCGAGGATGTTTTGCAGCAGAGGGAGGCCTGGGATGAAATATTCAGCCCCTCCAGACCTGTTTCTGAGTGAAAAGGGAGAGGGTTCCACCAACAATTTTTTGAGCTCCACAAGATCGTGTGTCTTTGGAGATGGAATTCACTATCAAACCCTCAACCTTGTTTGCTGATATTATACTCACCGTAATCCTCTTAAACCCTGGTTGTAGCTACAAAGCTGGTGGTCTTGCAAAGGCTGGCTGGCAAGATATAATTGTCCCACAAACAAAACCATCCAAAAGTATTTTTTTTAAAAAAAATACATGCACTCTCCTCCTCCTTCTTTCCTAAACCTAATTCTCTCCCTGCTCTCTTGCTAGCGGGCCCCCCCCTCCCCTTAAGGACCCTCAGGCCTTGACCACTTTTGTTGTCGCCAAGAGCACCCGGCCTGTTGAAAGTGCTGGAGCGTCTTTGAGCAGTTTGTTGTGATACGCAGGTGGAATGGTCTGCAAACAGATGAATTCAGCCCCTCCAAACTGAGCTCCGAGCGCGCTGCTTTTGTGCGCCAGGCACAAAACGCTGAATTCCTCCGAACTTAGTTGGGGCCTGTCTAGAAAAGGGCCTTTTCTTCCCTTTGCCTGTACCTCTGGCCACACTAAGTCTCTCCCGCCCCCCTCCAGGCCCCCTCCCTTTCCCCTCTGATAATCCTTCTCTTTATTTTAGAAAAACACAAAACCCGGTTCCACGCGGTGCTTTAGTGGCTAAAAGTGAAAGAGCTGCCTTGGCAGATTTCAGCTCTATGAATCACTTCGGAAAATTGGTTGGACTGAATGGCCTTAGGAGCAAAAACGTTTTAATAGGATCCAGGGGGAGGTTCTGCTGTTTCAATCTGCTCCTTAAACAGGTGGAGATTGGACCTTCTCAATTATACAAACAGCAAGTACCCATCAGCGGGGAGAGCTGCCCTCCGAATCCTCCCCGCACGCAGCCCTAAACCAGCAGCATCGCCGGGCTTTGCCTCAGACATCCGATCACAAATCAGCCATTCTGATCGATTAGGATCTTAAACAGTCCTCAGCTGGCCGTGCAGACTCCCGCGGCCTCAGGAGGGGAACTGGCTCGAGAGGGGGAGGCGCACTCGCGGGTTGCTAAGGTCCGGGGGATCTGGGCGCGCGGCCTCGGTCTTCCCGACGCTTCGGGGTCTTCCTTAGGCGGCGGGAGCTCTCTCCCGACCTCCGACGCCAGCCAAGGCGAGCTCGTTGTTTTTGCATAAATTAATAATTCCCCATTAACAAGTTCCCCCTCCAAACGCGGCGCTCGCGTCCATGCGCCACATCCTAATGAGGTAATTATCATTTGCGCGTGTTCGGGGCTGGCGCCGGCTCCGTGGGTAAATGGCAGTTTATTAGCGCGATGCCCAACTCGGCTGCAGAGGGCTAAGGGACACTACGACAACTAGACGGACACCCAGGGGCCCTTTGAGACTGCAAGTCCAGGACCCCCTGCCCTGGCCGCGTCCCCCACACCTGTAGGCCCCCAAAGTTGTGACTCACGCGCAGAACTCTGCCTGGGTTTGGACTCTCCCCACCTTTTTTTCCACCGGCAAAACCATCACGATTCCTCCCCCTCCCCCTCCCGTCTCTTCCCTCCTTTCCGATTCGCGAACCGCTCGCACTTTCCCAAAGGGAGCGCGAGCGCCAGTTGCCTCCTTTTAAAGTTTGAGGGGCGGTGGCGGCGGCCGGCAGGCGCGGGGGAACAGAGGGGCCGCTACCGGAGCCGCGCCGCCGCCCAAGTCATTCCACTTGAAGTGACTTCATGTGATGTCAGCTGAATGTAAAAGACAGTGATCTCACGCGGAGGGGAAGATGTTTGCCATTAAAATGTGACAGAGGAAACACGCTGCATGGCTCGGAACGCATCTCCTTGGCGGTGGGGGAAAGAGGTAAATGAGAGGTGCCTCTCCTGGTCCTCTTTAACTTTGCCTCTTCACTGTCCAGCTCCCAGCACGCGTGCCGGAGGCCGGGGTCCAAGGAACGGCTCAGGGGGGCTAATTTGAGGCTCTTTTCTTTCTTTCTCCCTTTCTCTCTCTCTCTCTTTCCTTTTTTTCTGTAAACCCTCCCCCTTGTTCCCCTTTCAAAGTCCCAAGGCTGGGGCTGGTGGGTTCCTTTGCGCGCCGGGTTAATGGGCGGTAATTTGGTACCCTTGGGTGCACTTTGTTCTGCCCCTGTTCATTTGAATGTAAATGGGTGACCTGGACCCGACAAGGTGCTTATTAAATTGCTGTTTCCCTCCCTGCCTTTTCCGGAATGCAGACTTAGAAGAGAGAGGCTGCGCCCTGGCCCAGTCTGGCACAACTCGGCTCGGCGCGCCATGGCAAGCTCGGCTTCCCTAGAGACCATGGTGCCCCCGGCCTGTCCTCGAGCCGGAGCGTCGCCGGCCAGTTCCAAGACTCTGGCCTTCTCCATCGAGCGCATCATGGCTAAGACGTCGGAGCCCCGTGCGCCCTTTGAGCCCCGGCCGGGGGCACTGGAGGCAGACAGCGGCCAGGGCAAGAAATTGCTGAACCTCTGCTCGCCGCTGCCCTGCATGATCCCTCTCCAGCCCCTAGGCTACGACGTGCCGTCCAAGACGCTGCTCAGTTACTCCGAGCTCTGGAAAAGCAGCCTCCGCGCGGGCGGCAGCGGAGGAGGAGGAGGCAGCGGGGGGGCTCCGGTGTGCGGCGCCAGCGGCTTGTGCAAAACCAACTGTGGCGTGTGCTGCAAGGCCGAGCTGGGCCTGGCGCCGTCTGCGCTGCCCGCGGGCAGGGTCATCAAACCGCAGGTCATCAACCACGCGGTGGGGCTGCCGGCCAGCGGCTCGCTCTACTACTTCAACTACCTGGACTCTGCCGCGTACCCTCCCTCTGAGCTCCTCGGCGGCCACCTCTTCCCTTCCGGCCTTCTCAACGCACAGGCCCCCACCGCCCTGGCCGCGCACCCCAAGCTCTTTTTGCTGGAGAATGCCAAGCTGGCCGGCCTGGCCGCGGACAAGTTTCCCCATCCGGCCCCCTATGCGCATAAGGAGCGCTTGCCTGCGCCGCTGGAACAGGTGCTGAAAGAAAACTCGGCCCTGACCGCCGAGCGCGGGGGCGTAAAGAGCCACGGCAAGCTGCCCGGGGCCTCCGCGGACGGCAAGCCGAAAAACTTCACCTGCGAGGTGTGCGGCAAGGTGAGGCCTGGGGTCCCTGGGGCCCGGGGACAGGGGAGCAGCAGCGGCTGCTGCTTCCTTGGGGCAGCCCGGCACCCCCCTTTCTCAAGTTTAAGAGCTCCCTGGTAGCTCTCTGCTCAAATCAGGGGCCTCAGTTTCCTGTTCTGTAAAATGGGGGTGCCGTTGTCACTGGCCACACAGAAAAGATGTGAGCAGAGGGTTGGGAAGCCCTTTGCAAAATGGAAAAGGCTCTGGTTGAGGGGGGAGACTGTTGGTTGGGCAAGGTAAGCTGTGGCCTCCCCGGGCTGATGCTAGGCTCTCTGATGAACACACCACGAGGCCCCCTCATGTCCTTCCGTAGGTGTTTAACGCTCACTATAACCTCACACGCCACATGCCAGTCCACACCGGAGCCAGACCCTTCGTGTGCAAAGTCTGCGGCAAAGGCTTCCGACAGGCCAGCACGCTGTGCAGACACAAAATTATCCACACCCAGGTACGTGGCCCCGGGTCCGGTCCAATCCGAGCGCAACACCCCGCGCAAGAGCGACGACGTTGGGGAGAGGATGGCCGGGGGCTCCCGCACCCCTCTCGGGGAGCCCGTGTCCCTTCAAGGTGATCCTTCAAAGTCCCCCGAGGCATCTTTTCCCTGCCGGGCACTCAGCCTTACTGTGTTCCCGCCCCTCTCCGCAGGAAAAGCCTCATAAATGCAACCAGTGCGGCAAAGCCTTCAACCGCAGCTCCACGCTCAACACGCACATCCGCATCCATGCGGGCTACAAGCCCTTCGTCTGCGAATTTTGCGGCAAAGGCTTTCACCAAAAAGGTAACGTTCGGGGTGAGGCCCTCTTCTCACCTCACCTCGGTACTCGGGGAGTCGCCGCTATCGAGAGGGGAAAAAAAAAAAAAAAACAGATCCAGAAAAAGTGGGAACGAGAGCTGCAGGCTCGGGCGCAGCATTTCTTTGGAATCGGGTTGTGCTGGGTTTGGGAATAAGCTCTCCGGGACGGGTCAGTAGACCTCGCTGGATTCAGGTTGGTTGCACGGAGAGACTCTGAATTCGGGAGGTGGGAAGGAAGGCAGGGACAGACGAAAAGAAAGTAGGAGAAAGAAAGTATTGCCCTACAAGAAAAGCGTCTCTTTGTAGCCGGGACTCCCCTTTCTAATGAAAAAAAAAAAAAAAGTCGTGGCAAAATCCACCACCTGGAAATAACTTAAGGCTCGGGGCAAACCGCTGCTGTCCAGAGTACTCCCAACCCTCGGCGCCCCTCTTGGATTTTCTCAAGCATTGTTGGATCTCCAGGTGGTAGTTGAGGGACCAGAAGGAAAAAATTTTTAAATGAGAAAATAAAATGAGGACGAAGCCGGGGTTCTTGAGAATTTCTTGGAGCGAAGTAGCAGCCGAGAGTAGGACCCGATGTGTCTCTAGGCTGCGACAAAGTTTCCGGGCCGGCGGAGCACAGCGGGAGGGACGCCAGGCGGGCTTCAGGACAAGGCGGGGCAGGGGCGCGGGGCGGCGACTCGGGAACTTGGCCGTCCAGCCAGTCGTGAGAGCCCCGGGCTTGACGCACACAAAGTTTGACAACCTCTTCACTCTGAGAGGTCGTGCCCGCTTAGCCAAGCATCGCCTTCTTTGCTTGGGCACCTGAGCCAACCCCGGGACGCCCAGACTCCCACCACCCCATCCACTTCATTCCCCCACTTTTTTGTTTTTGGTCTCCTGTAGGGAACTACAAGAATCACAAGCTGACCCACAGCGGTGAAAAGCAGTACAAATGCACCATCTGCAACAAGGCCTTCCACCAGGTCTACAACCTGACCTTCCACATGCACACCCACAACGACAAGAAGCCTTTCACGTGCGCCACTTGCGGCAAAGGGTTTTGCAGAAACTTTGATTTAAAGAAACACGTGCGCAAACTCCACGACAGCGTGGGCCCTGCCGCCCCCTCCACAAAGGACCTAACTCGGACAGTGCAGAGTTGAGAGCTACTGCCTCACCTTCCCTTCCAGCCCTATCCAACCCCAAAACAGATCACGCGTATAAACTTATTTCTAAAATTAAGAGGGAAAAAAAAAAACCTATAGCAGAGAGGCTAAAATCTATTTATCGAAACCAGCATATTTTTGGAAAGCTAAACGTTTCCTCGATGACTGGCAGCAGACGAGTGGCTCCCACCTTTGCGTATTCGGGAAACTTATTTAAACCCAGTGCCGAAAAATATTTAATTCCGGGCCTCAGCTTCTCCTTGGGCGGTGGGTTTTAACACGAGCCTGTCACGTGAACGCCCGGAAAGAGCACGGCGCCCCCAGCCATCTTTATACAGCCATGTAAATCCTCCTGTACATGCGAACACGGAATATATACATATATAATTCAATAAACAGAATCATTAGTGCGCGTTTTCTTCCCCGCCCCCTCTCCCCTCGCCGCAAGGTCAGCTCAGCAACCCCGAAGAATGAGAAGGAAATAGGCGTTTATAGCATTTCCCTGCCCAAACGCGACTTGTTCGGTGCGCTGGGACAACGATGAGGCCAAGTCCGCGTTCCTGAGGTGCTTGCGCGTTATCACCCGGCCCCCCACCCCATCCCCAGGAGCCAGGGTGAAAAGGCCTACACAGGCCTTCACGTAATGAAATGTTTCTGTTTGGTGAATGTTTCGACGCTTGGAATTATGGGTCGTCCAAATAATTATGCCTTATTTGGGTGAGAATTTTTTTTAAGAGGGGTTAAAGTGGCTGGATATTGGGGAGCAGGTTTGGGGTGCGTCCTCGAGCAAAGCGCCGCGTCTCGCGGGGATAAATGGCTGGGGCACTGACCAGCCGGGGAGCTTCTGGACGTGTACCCTTCTCTGGGCGACCTAACGGGGGCAACTCTTCTTCCCAATCTCTTCCCAATCTCTTCTGGAAGCGAGGGCTGGAGGCCAAGGATCCCCAGCCCAGCCTAAGCTCTGGGACTCCCTGATCCGCCCCGCTGATCTGGGGCCGGACTCCGGGTGCTGGGCGCCCTGCCGCGGGAGGGCGCACCCGGGCTCCCGGAGCTCACAGCCGCCGCCTCCCGCTCGCTGATTACCGCGCAGTTAGTCCATTTCCTGAATAGCTATCTCTGCCGCCGAGCACGCTGATAAAATGATTTCACGCTTGCTTCCTAAGTAATGACCCAAATTAAGAGAGAAAACAGAGACCCTTCAAACAGCATTACATTAATCATCTAATCATTCCCAGGAGGGGGCCGGCCGCCACCGCCCCGTTTGATCCGAATCTGGATAATCAAGAGCTTGGATTACTGGCTCGACACTCCGGACCTCCTCCCTCCACACACTCTTAATATTTGAACCGTGATTCAGCCCACGTCTTTTGGAACAGTGTTTCCCAACGTGGGGAGGAAATGCGGCGCGGGCCTGGGAGTGCGCTTCCCACAGAGCCTTGCCGTTGCGAGAGCTGGGGCGGCGGAGGCTGGGCGCCGGCCCGACGCGAGCTTCCACGGCAGTTGGAGGCTATGTGGAGGGAAAGGTGGTTAATGAGAGAGGAAATCCCTAGGTAACTCTGAACGTGACTTGTTATCTGGTTATCTCAACGCTGGGTACACTGTAGGTGCTCAGTGCTCCTCCTGGCAGGGGCTTACACAATTTTAAAGGCTAGCATTTCCGGAGCGCTTGTTCCATGCCAGGCCCACGACACACGTTCTTTCCAATGTTCACAGCCCGCAAGTTTGCGAGCTGGTGATTATTCCCACCTGGCGGATGGACGGAGAAGTTGAGGCAGAGAGAAGCTAAATGGCATGCTTAGGGTCACAGGGACCAGGTAGGGCTGGGATTCGAACTTTTAGGGAGTCTAAACTGCTTCTAGGCCTTGTGGCTGAAGAGAAATCTTCAGGCTGGGACCCGAGGAAAGATGTTCAGCTGCTGGGTGAAAGCTTTGTCCTAGTCACAGTCAACGGTTGGGTCCCCGGCCCCCCGTCCAATTCGCAGGCCCATTGCGTGGGGAAGGAGAATTGTCGCTTTTGTTTGTACAGAGGACGGCGACAGCTTCCTCAGGCTGTCGCGAGGGTATTTTTAGTACCTCCGATTCAGAAATAGGAACGTGTACATTATAATTCCATTTCCTGAAAGGAGAGCGTCCTCGTTTTTGTATCCTCCCCCAGCCCCCAAGTCTGGGAAGACGCAGCCAGGGGAGGAGGGGAATGAGGAAGCGAAGAGGAATTTAAATGTTAGCTCGTTCTGGCTGCAGTTCACTGAGGGGAGATGGGGACCCAGAGGGATATGCAGATTTAACTCCGAAAGCTCGGTAGATGTCACAAACCCCAGGAAACCCCGGGATGGGAGAGGAGGACAGAGCGGCTAAGGATATGGAAATATCGCCTTGTTTTTCCCAGACATCTGTCTCCAGAGCTGGTTTGAGAAGTCAGGAGACAGTTTCCTTGTTCTCAGAAGAGGTTTTATTAGCCCCGCCTCCTACGCACACCCCTCCCCCGATTCTGGGAACGCTTGGGTGCCCCAGGACGGTCCTCCCAACCGAAGTGCGTCCCTTCTTGCATTGCTCAAGAGGATCCTTTGCAGATGTGCTTCTTGGTGACCAGACAATGGTCAAGGCAAGCCCCCCTTTTTTCTAAATAGTTCCAAAACTTTGAACAAGGGGCAGACACCACAAAATCTGGTGCAAAAGCATCCTCTTAGAGAATTGGGTTTAAAAGTTGGCCTGCATGTGGACATGTTGATAAAGTGCTCCTTTTTTCCCTTTAAGAAGAAAATATAATTTAAAAATAAGTGGGGTATCCCCATCCAGGGAAATAACTTTCTAACCATCAAGTGAGGGAACTTTCTTCAAAAAGTTCTTCTGTAATAAATTTTCACAGGAGAAAGATTAAAAAGGTCACCCATCTTATAAAACTGGAGAAATTTTGTTTCCAGGTACAGTTCTGGAGAGGGGTGAAGAGGGCAGGCTTGCAAGCTAGATAGCAACTGAAATAAAACAAATGGGTGGGGCAGAAGGCGTCTCCCCCTCGGACTGCTCATCTCCGCAGTCACTGGGACTGCCGTGCAAACCCGAGCCGAGTTTCTCACTTACTACAGCCTCCCTGAGGTTGCTTCCTCATAACCTGATGGTTACTTAACCTTCACATCACCTCCTGTCAATCGCTCTCACCTGAGAAGGTGTTATTTCCCCTCTGGTGGTAATTGCAGATAAACAGAGTTCTTTATCTGTAGAGCTTAGCTCTGCTTTCCACAGATTTGAAGTTACTCCTCCCAGGTTTAAGATGTCTGCTTCCTTCAGGTGTGGGATTAAATAAAGGATTCCTTCACCAGAAAATTAGTACCAAGAGAAAAGGATGCTTTTACCTGAATTACTAAACACCTTTCACAGATAGTGCAGGTCCTGAAGGCAACTCTAAGTCCTCTTAGTAACCATCTTAGCTCGGATCCTTCTTAGTTATTCGCCATGCATTGGAATTGATTGCGTGAAAGGCTCTGTTTTCTGATTTTTTTCTCTCTTAATATTAAACTGTTTGCATGACTTGTAGTTTGCAATATTAGTAAATGGCTTAAACAAGGTAGTCATCAGCTGCATGTTAATATTCTAACCTTGATTAAATTGAAGAGGCCACTCTTAAAAAATATTTGAAAAAAATCAAATTGCGGGGGAGGGGGATCCTGCCACAGACACAAAAAAGACTCCAATTATCTTTTTCCCTACAAGATGTTTGTTCTGTCCATGACTGCTCACACTTCAGCAATCTTGCCAGCAAGACTCAAAAAAAAAAAAAAAAAAAAACCCTCTCCTTCTTCCAAAGCCACAGCCTTGTACATAACAGATTGTACAGTCCTATTGCCTTAGGCGGGTTAGAGGTTCCTCTCTGCAAAGAGCGACACAGAAATTGCCAGCATCCAGACATATTTGGGGGAGCACTGTGCTTCTTCTTGTCTTGGCTGCAGAAGTGGGTCTATAAGGTCCCCATTTTGCTGTTTGGCTCTCAAGATGATAGAGGGCTGCCCGAGCCAGGCCCAAAAGTCATAGCGATGAGGCATCCAGGTGTGCTGGTTCTGAATGGGCTGCCGTAGGAACGGCCAGGAGTAAGAGTGAGGGGCGGGGGGGCTGCCAAGGGGAGTACAGGAGTCTTGAGAAAACGCTGGGAAATAAACAACCTCAAGGCAGCTGCGTTGCCCTTTTCCCTGCACTTCCCTCTCAACCGTCTGAGCAACCAGTTTGCTCCTAGAAACATGTTAATTGCCAACGGAGCTCATTAAGGCATGCACATGCAAAACACAGCAAGAAAGATTAAATGGACAAAAGCGCAATAATGAACTGTCAACAATCGGGCCCATCTACGAGACCAGGATCACTCAAGAATGAGGCATTTAGAGGCAACAAAGGATTGTCTGGGACAGGAAGAAAAGACGACCTAGACTTTTGTTTAGTCAACACAATTGATTACAAATGAGAGATTAACAGGATAGCTTCAGATTTTTTTAAAAAGAGGCAGAAAAGAAAAGTCCAATTAAGTCCACCGAATGTTAACTACATTGCGTTCCATGCCTAGCCCCAAAGAAATTCTCATTAAACCATCCCTGGCGATCCCTTTTGGAAAGTAATTTGTCTCCCTGATGGAGCAGAGAAAGAGAATCGTGTAAAAGAAAGCGTTAGTTCTTGGCACAATGAGCTTAGGAGACACACTAGAAAGAGCCAAAGGGGGAGTTAATGAGCATCTGACAAACTGCTTGGATTCAGGCCTAGAGAACAGCGATGAAAAGATGAAATTGGCCAACAACTATTCTTTATATCAAACATAAAAAGGCCAATCTGAAATGGGGCTGCTCAAAACTGGTTGAAAGTACATAGCCCAAGAAAAGAGAGCCGCGGCCTGGCTCCGTGGTGGACACTGGACAGAGACAGAATTCAGCAGTTCCTGAGCTAGGAAATAAACAGAAAGGTGGGATCTCCATCACAGAGCAAACTCCAGACACTGGCCCCAGGACTTTGGAGGGGCTG